ATAGATACTTCTATTAACTATATTAACTATCTGTAGACCTATAAGCTTACTTGCTTATGCTAGCTATCTGCTAAGTATATATAGAAGTATTTATAGTTACTTATAGAGTTATTTAAATGTCCTACTAAACTCTTATATAGCTGATAGTTAGAATAGTTAGTCTATTACTTTATAACTATTATTTATACTACTACTTAGTCTTTAGCGTTCTATAGTAGTAGGTAATTATACTAGCTGTATAAATAGCTATTTATCTTTAGTAGAAACCTAGCTATTATAGTTATTAGTAAAAAATAAGTATTTAGGCTTTATCTTACTATAGTTATTTTTAATTAATAATTATAGGATAGCTAGTAGTTATAACTAAATATTGCTTTTAGGACTATTTGCTAAACCTAAATCCTCTATTATTATTAGCTTTATAAGCAGCTTTTATATCTTTTAGACTAGCTTATATAGTATGTCTAATAGCTGCCTTATTATGAACTATACCTACCTATATAATATATAATTGCTAACTTAGTTAATAATATTAGCTGCTGCTATATTATATTAAATATGTATTTTGTACGTCTGCGTTTTAAGAATTTAGTCTATTAGTGTTAGCTTTGTATTTTTATTGCCTGTTATTTGTGTTATGAACTATTATATTTTCACCTATATATGCTAGAATAAACTCTATGCTATATCTTCTACTTTATTATTACTTAGAGACTTTCTTAGCTTAGCAACCTTATTATAGCGCTTAATATAAGCTTAATAGATTACTAATATATATGCTATCTTAATAATAGCTAAGTATTTTATTATGTAGTTTATGATTTAAATTTAGCTGCTATTTTTAGTAATACTTATTACTATAAGAGTGCTGAGAAGAGTATTGCTATAGTTTCTGCTTTTTAGCTAGTAGTTTAGTATACTAATAAGTATATTAAGTGTTATATGTTCTAGCTTCTCTTATGTTTAATATCTTATCTTTATACTAGCTGCTTCTACTATCTGCTTAAATAAGTCTTATACTTCTCCTTATGATAGCGTTAGTTTATATAGCAGCTGCTTATTATTATCTATTTCTTATATATAGAATTAGATATATAATAGATTTAGCTATATACCTTTATATCTTACTTATATATTATCCTCTATATAGTTATTAAATAGCCTCCTTAGTTTGATATACGCTTCTATATGCTATACTTTAAATAGTATAGCTAGCTTAATAATATTAAGAGCAGATATTACTTAAGCTTAGTTTAGTATATAGTTAACTATTACTTATATTGCCTGAAGTATAACTTTATCTTTATTAATAAGAGCTATTATGTTAAAAAGTATACTAGTATTAAGCCTTTTTAAGTATACTACTTATTCTATATAGGCTAGCTATAGGTTAGGCTTAAGTTTTTTATTAGTGATATAGATTAGCTTATTATAGCTTATCTTTATATATTCTGCTTAGATTTTCTAGAGATCTTAAATACAGTTTACTGCTTATTAAGCTAGGCTTCTATTTAGAGCGCCTTATAAAGACTTATTAGCTATCTGTTTTTAGGCTATTTTAAACTATCTGCTTACAGCTTATATTAAGAAAAACTGCTAGTATAGCACCTCTATTATCTATAATAAATCTCTAACTATAGTGGCTTTCTTATAAATATTACCCCCCTTATACTAATTATTCTCTTATTTATGCTCTACTTAATAATGCTCCTATATATTTTATATATAGTAGTAAATATAACAGTATATATAGTAATATAAACTATCTACCTGGGGTAGTATAATATTAGTAATTAGCTTAACTATAGGGTTTAAGTATTAGAATAACTATAAATCAGCTTAGCTGTAGATAATACTAGGAATATTACTAACTAATTTAGCTATTTTTCCTCTAGCTTTAGTAGTGATTAACTAATAGTAGTTCTATAGATATGCTATAATTTTATTTACTACTACTATATATTAATATAATATATATATTAGAATAGAATACTATATGTTATAGATAAATAGCTTTATATTTACTTATATAGATAGCTTATTTTGGTTTATTACTATTAAATAGTTCTTCTTCTCTTCTCTTTATAACCTTACTTTTCTATCCTTTAATTCTATATATTTTCTCTTTAATTTACTTTCCTCTCTAATTATATTCTATTAGTTAGTTAGGCTTTTAGGCTTAGCTAATATCCCTATTATATAATTAGCTAGTTAATATGAGGTTTAGGACTATATTATGAAAATATTAACTATGCTATTTATTAATTTCTAAACTTATTTTGCTAAGTATTAAACTAAGAACTAGATTATTATAATTGCTTTTATTTAAGCTTTAATTATATCCTATTTTTATATATTTTACTGTAGGAAATCTTAATAGCTTCTTTACTATTAGAAAATAATAGCTTCTACCTCCTGTTTATATAGACCTACTTAATTTTTAGTGAGGATTTTAACAGCTTCTACTTGAAGCTGTTGTTGCTAGTATGTTAGGCCTGGCTAATATCCCTGTTATGTGATTGGCTAGTTAATATGGGGTTTGGGACTGTATTATGAAAATATTAACTATGCTATTTATTGATTTCTAGACTTACTTTGCTGAGTATCAAACTAAGAATTAGATCGTTATAATTGCCTTTATTTAAGCTTTAATTGCATCCTACTTTTGTGTATTTTACTGCGGGAAATCTTAATAGCTTCTTTACTACTGGAAAATAATAGCTTCTACTCCCTGTCTGCACGGACCTACTTAATTTTTAGTGAGGATTTTAACGGCTTCTACTTGAAGCTGTTGTTGCTAGTATGTTAGGGCTAAAAACCTATCAGAAGAGATTATCTTCCCTAGGAAAATAGTTTAGACTATAAACATAAGAGGCGGAATAGAACCATATTATTGTAGCTTCCTAAAACGGATTCTTGATGCTTTTGTAACTGATGATGGTGCGTATGAACAGAATCCTTGACCTGAAAAGTGCCTAGTGTATAGGTATAGCGAAGAGTATTTATAATATATGTGGGAAGTTATATAAATTAAGGGTGTCTGCTTTTTCTTGATATTAAGGGGAAATAAGGGAAGACGTTCTACGTATAATATGATGGCCACCTAACTAAATTCTTCCTCAAACCCATCTGATACTGCTTGCATGGAAATTATTAGGGACGAATACTTCAGACAGCATTATGCTTTCACGATCGAATCACCCAAACGCTACAGTCTAGATATATGTATCACTCAAGTAAAATGAAAACAAGTATGAACTCAGGTTTGCAACATGGATACCCGCTGCGAGACTGCTCATTAGAGCAGATGAAAGTGTAAATCACGTCACCTTATTCCGGGAAGCGTGATAGCAATGGTTGCATCCGGAATTGTTTTCCTCTTGGGGTAAAGGTGGGTCACAAGTAGGTAGGCCGTCCCACCCTCCATCGTTCTCAGTATGGATTTTTAGGCCTCAGTCACAGGGGCGTCTCCTACAATGCCTCCCCTTTGCGCGATACTACAGCAATACTTTTGTCCAGCTGTCACAAAAGGTAACTCTCAGTGTCTCTAGCTGTGGTTTGCTGACGTTATTACCACACCAACTGCTGGTCTACAGCTTTTACATATTCCAGAGGATAATAACGGCCAGGTGAGCCCAGCGCAGCATCTGTCATCATGACTTTCGCCTCATAGGCTAGCACGAACAGATTTACATCTTATGAATTGATGCACATGTCAAAGATTGGAGGCAAATGCACCGTACCTCAATCCAATGGCGTCGAGATGTGAGAAGATGATGGGGAGTTGACCGCAAGAGCTTGTCACGACACCGTAGCACGACGATATGACGGCGCGGAAATCAACCGCTGTGACTAGCAACCTCCTCAAAGTCCTCGCCTGTTCTGAGGATCAAGGCACCAGCTTGATACCTCGTTGACCATCCTAGACTGGGCGCACCTATACTGATGAAGATGATAATAAAAACGCGACGTTGTCGAGTGTACCTGCTGCTCGCAAGACATTTTGCGGAATATGAAAGAAGAATCTGCCGATCAAAGTGCTTATGGAGCATATCCGCACAGTTCGTCATGTCCCTCCCAGACCTTATTGGGTCATTTCCTACTCACGTTAGATTGATTGAACACGCACAAGTCCAAAGAAAAGCACCTACAAGCAAGAGCGCTCAGTGCTCCACGCTTCTTGCTCGGCAACCCCATTGCAGATTTGCGGGGTGGAGAACACACGCAGATTACCAAATGGGGTAAACGCTACTACAGCCGCTCCGTAAGTATCGGTCTACATTTTTAACACAGACGGCACGGTCTGGGTTTTATTACTCAACATGCAGTTCAATTCATAGAGGCTTGGAAATAGGGGATGATGGGTTATGTATCTCATACACACGTCGTGTATCACTACAGATGACATGAGACAGCATCAGACAACACACAAAGCTTGGTCATGAGAACTATCTCTTATGGCTTTCTTCAATTGATTCTCATTCAGCTGCTGAGGATATCAAGGCATCTATAGAAATCTCAATGGCCGCCGAGACATAATGCATGCTGATGTTAACGCAATCACTGCTATAGTGAACATCCACTCTTGTGTCATCAGGAGATTACCATAAGAATTCCGTGATGATTGATTGGGGTCACGATGTGACACATCAGCTTTCATTTGATACCCGATCACCGAGCGCATTCATCCACTTCATGGTTTGTTCTCGGAGACACAGGAAATCAAGGTCGGGCAGAGTTCATATAGTAGCTGCCTGTTTGCTGTTCTTTGAACTTATACGACGTGTCCAACCGTGATCTGGAAGCGATCATTGGTGAGAATCACAGATGTGCCGATTTTTGTGGTCCCATAAGTTGGTCAAAAATACCCCTAATCATTCATATGCAATCCATCAACAAGTGGAGGAAACCCAAACGATATGCCCACGATTTGCATCACTGTTGCAATTTCAGTGCGCAGCCGCTTGCTTGCAATGACACAATTGAATGCGATCGCTAATCTAGGAATCATATGGGATAATTCCAATAGCCTGTTGTGTAGTTTTATTGACAGTCGGCGGACCGTAGGGATGGAGTATGTTCCATTCCGCCATCTGATGTTCTTTGAGAACAAAGTCGGTGGGATCATGAGACTGATATTGATGTCAATAATTGTCCATTTATGACCTAATTTCTTGGGAATTTCTTTGCTTACAGTCATATAGCCACGCTTGAAAGCCTCCACTTTGCGCTGTCTCTGTTCTTCAGACAGAAACTCAATGGGCTTGTAGCAGGTATCTGGACAGCTGGTAAGCTTTGCAATATCAAGATTGTGCGAACCAGCGGTTATTCTTACAAACAGCCATGCGCTTGTTGTCATTGATAGGGGCGGCGCCATAATGGACTGCGCGGGAGTCCCAGAGAATGAAGTCCCCAGGATCCATAGTAGGCTTCAACCACCGGCATCCACGCTCTTCGAACCACTTCAGTGTTTGGTCATCCCAATTGAAAAGATCGCGCTTGATCCAACCACCTTCGGGCTGCAGATATTCATGTTATCAGTGGATCAACTTAGAACAACGTTGGGTGTGAGATTTACTGGTGTATGTTCTTTGAAGTACTGCTCAAACAGCGGGGCTGAGCCATCCATGACAGCCAGACCGCCATCTTCTGGTCCGTTGGGAAGCTACGGAAGCAGAGTCAGTGTGCTTTGTTGGACTTTCTAGCATGAATCTTGACAATACATACTAGGTTCAGAAGCCCCTGAATGCAATGAGGATGAGGGCGGTAGGCGCTCTGATCGGACTAGTTCTCAGGTCAGCATTACACACGAGCGGACATGGATGACTGCTGTAGTACGTACGTGCGGCCAAGGTGCTCTGCCGTGGTCAGGCTCGTCCGGTGTGGGAAAGGCCAAAGTGCCCCCGTCTGAAAAGATTTTAGTTCACGTCGTCTAACAGTGGGCAATCATCTGTTACCAAAGGACACGGTGAGCTTATCGGTTCCCCAAATCGTTGCAAATATCTGGCGGACGTTGGGTTCGGACTTGCAATCCCAGACAAACTGAGCGTGGGCAAATGAGAAACTGGCCCAATTTGAATCAATCATCCCTGACAACGTGAAAGGAGTGCATCAAGCAAGACCTACTGGTCAAAAAGACCCCCATAACGGTGTCGGGGAATGTTCGTTGACCTCCACGTCGACGGATCATCACGCTTGTATCCCAGTTTGAATCCTTCAAGCCACTCCTCACCCTTCTCAGCGTACGTGAGAGCTCTTTGCTTCGGTACAGCTCCTTTGACTAGTGCCCACTGGTGCGCTTGTCAGCATAACCCGGCCTTCTACTTAGTAAACTTGAAGAATGACGAACACCCCTCTTGTGCAGGTCGTGAAGCCACTGTGGGCTTTCGGGTGTGAGAGGAGCGAGCTTTGGACTCGGTCGATTGATGCCCAGCGGACCTTTCGGGTCTTCCCAGTTATCTTGTTCCAACCAAGTGATGATGGTCCGTTTGGGCTGTGCCCGGATAACGGCTTGGGTGGATCGAAGCTTGCAAAACGACGGGGTTCCGCGACGGCACAGGTTGTTGAGCAACATGATGTGGGAATAGAAGAAGGGCAATTTAGCACAAAATTCATAGACCACCGGAATAAGTGAAAAGCAGATCGCCGGCAAGTTTGAATATTTTTGGCACTCCTTTATTTTGCTACAGCTGGCGTGACTTGTATTATAACCCTAAGGACTCATCCTTCAGCAACCTTTTTAGATACTTCCTCCCCGACGACGCCGTGGTTAGATCATACTACATTGCCTCTTGAGTCGGCATGCTTTTACGGGAAATTTCGACCGATGCGGGGCCCCGCACTCCATGGTGGAGAGAGAGCCAAGGGGGTGTGATGGGGGCCACATGGTGGAGTGTTACATCTTGAATTACAAAGCCATTCGCATGAGTGGGAAATTAAAACCTTTCAGGTGCTGTCTTAGACTAGAGCAGCTACGTTGCGGTTTTCGTGTTACTATCGTTCCAGGTCGGCCTTCACAGAGGGTTTTAGAAGGACACCTTACTTGGGCTGCATCCTTCTGCTGATTGTGACATGCGAATAATTGCTGTGAGTACCACATGAATTTCAAGCACACATCATTCACCCTGCCAACATAAACTCTAGCGGGCGGAAACTCGAATCAGCGACATACCCAGGAACCAAAGGCCGAGCGGTTTCCAAGTGAACGGATAATTTCTTATCCGGCCACGCGGCTGTTATATCACGCGGCCAATTTTCACACGTACACCTACGATTTCTGCATTCTCTCCAAGCGTTTGTCTAGAGGTGGAACAGTCTCGCTGCAACCATAGGGTTTATTGCCGCAAACCCACATTTCACACGTTGACAATTCCCGGTAGGGCTCGTCTTCTCCTGGCCTTCCCCGGATTTTCCATCTAAGGCAATGGATCATCCAGCCCAGGTTCTAGAATTACCCCATTAGGCAGTTTACTCCGCTTCCCCAGACGCTATCAGATTCCCGCCAAGGGTTTGCGATCCGTAAATTGTCACATTCCCACGGCGGAGCTTCATTATTGCATACCACATCAGCCTCGTATCAACGTCCAAAACCAGAGGTAATGACGTGGCTGAAGCCTAGTATCGGCGGCTCTGCTGAGATGATGTCACCGGCGTGGACAAGAAACTCTCATTGTCATTGCCCCCGTTAATCTAGATGACTCTGTACACCCTTATCCCATTAATCCTATTCCCCTAAGATGCTCTAAAATCTTGCCAAAACAAAATGTCGTCCAAGTACGTCTTTGTACCGCAGTCAAAGTTGAACTTGGATGGACGAAAGCATATCCGTTCTCGAGTTGCTTGCGAACCGTGTCGCAACAAGAAGGTGCGTCAGCTCTAAGTGATGAAGAGTGCCAGGCTTGTTTCATGAAGGTGGTCCGTAAACACATGTCTGACCGTATAATCTGTTGTCCAGAGACGGTGCGATCACCAGCACCGAGAGGCCTCTTCGACCATCAAGCCCGCCGTCATCCCGAAACATATTCCGACGAGTGCTCTCGGTATCACTCAGGACGTTTGCGAAATAGATGATGATATTGAAGTTGGCCCGGCAGAAGAACAAGCGACTACTGTAACCCAGCGGTCAGAAAAGTCAAAAGGCGATGATGAACTACCCCATCATACGCCCGACTCTGGTCCTGGGCCAACTTCTGGCTCCGCCTTGGACGTTTCTTCTGTTCCCGAGACCGCCAGCATTCAATCTTCTGTGCATCCCCCTCCAATACATCCTATACGCCCAACTTTCACGTCTGCATCACCGTTAGTCGATGCGGGCTCAAGCACGCCACGCTTTGTCAGTGATCTTAACCCAGAAGCAAAACTTTTGGATGCAGAGAGTTACTGTGAGCAACCACAGAACCTGTCGCCCGAGATCGTGGGCATTTGGGTGCAACCACAACCTGGGCTTGGATCCGTTCAGAACGACTTTCAACAAGATTCTTCCTGGAGAAACCATACATCGAGTGAGGTCGGAGGTGCCGCTGACTCCGACGTCTTAGCTTTCGATACCATCGTGAAGCTTTCTGACATTTACTTCGACAATATCCAACCCATATTACCCTTGTTGAATGAACAAGATTATCGCCAATGTCTGGCAAAGGCAACATTGCCCGTTACACTAGCGCATGCTGTATGCCTCGTAGCTGCAAAGGCTGCAGCTGCCGAGCGACATCTGAGGCTTCGCCACGCCGGTAATATACCGGTATCAACGAGGCAATTTTGCAGCCACTTACACGCCTCTCTCATCTCTACTCTTCACAATACAAAGCATTTACGGAAGATCACGGTTATCAGGATTATGGCTCTCTTGTCGCTTCATCACGAAGGAGCTGATGGCGCTGAACAGGCATCTGGGTTCGTCGCACGAGCCATCCATTCGGCGCAAAGCATTGCGTTACATCTCTGTCGCCCGGTTGATGATGGTTACGAAATGAGGCGTGTCTTCTGGTGTCTATGGATACTAGATAGATTAAACTCCTCTATGCATTCGAGGCCTTGCTTCCTGGCTGACATGGATATAGCCATCAAGCCACTTACTCCAGAGCAGTCCGGATCGGTGGCCTTTGATATCTTGTTCAAGATAGTAACAACTCTGTCCAAAGCCATTGCACTTTACCGCCCGACGAATCCCCTCTCCATCAATGGCCTTGATTCCGATTATTCCGGCTTCGAACAGATTGTCGACGAGTCGGAAGGCTGGAAAATTTCGCCATCGACTCTGGGTAGGTTCTTTTTCTTAGATTACTGCCACGGCGGGGCGATTTCTGTCCCCCAAAAAAGCCTCAGGATCAAAGACATGGGGGAAATCGGCATGCGAAATAAATCATGGCCAAGTCGCGTGTGTTTTTGTTTCTTCTCGCTTTTGTTTCTTTGCATTTTACATATTAAAGCTGGCTTCACAGGGGACTTACTAACTTTCTTCACCACATTATTTAGCCACCCTTCATATCTTTTGGCTGACGACAGCCATTCTATCTCACCGACTCAAATCGGTCACTATACTACGGGCTCCAACGCCCTCACGCCTTAGACAGCAGCTGTCTGCAATACAGGTTATTAGACACATGCGAGATTCACAACGTCTGAATGCCCTGCACCCTTTTCCCACTGTTGTTTACGCTGTGTCCCTCGCGCTCTCGGTCTCGTATCAGCAACTCAGGTTCAGCCGTTTGCCTTCTGAACGGGAAGATGCCCGCGAGGACTTTGACGCTGCGTGTGGCATTCTCCAAATTCTGCGGCAAAAGTGGGCATCTGCAGACGTTGTTGCAGCTCTCTCCCGCCGAATCTCTACAGGACTGGCTACTCTATGCAATCTAGACGTCCTTCATGTCTCCCGTGGGCGTATAAACTGCGAGTCTGCTAATGTCGCACAATATCGGAGACAACAGGGGCCTGAAGCAAGAACCGATGAACATGCAAATATCGCTGTAACACAGCAACAGCTGCACGATGAAGTCGACTCAGATACCAATCAATCGGCTGCATGCAGGGAACCGTGGGGGCCTGTACCTGCTATGTTTGATATCTTTAGCGATATGGACGATATGTCGTGGGCATATCTGGAAGTTGGAAACCCGGTCGGCTTCGATGTGGCATTGCAAAACCTTCCAACTTGATACAGAATTGTTTATGTCTGATTAAAACCATCGTACAAGCTATACAACCCAGTCTCACACCACTTATCTCTTAAAGTACAGGCCATAGCTGCTTGATGCCCAGGGCAGCATCTTTACAGCTCATGTTGTTTCCTTTGAATTAGGCTGAACTGGTTTTCAGCAGTTTTTGGTTGTAAAGTTTCCGGAACTTCCAAAATCTGCACATACCTGGTCTTGGACTTTGAATTTCAACTCACGTCGTCCGGGGTGATCGGAAAGTAGCAATGCTTGATTTTCCCGACTGAGCCTAGAGAGAATCTCGTCCAGCGGCTTTTCTGAAATGCCCCAACTTTCAACCCGCATTCAGGTGATGTCGAAACGTGGATGTCGCTTAACAGGTTTCCAGTTTCATAATCGGAGCACTGTGCTCCGACTCGGCTTTACCCAAGCCGGTAGCCCGACTCGGTTGACGGCAATTCGGCCGGAGTTTCTGAGAATGGCAATAAGTTCGGAAGCCAAGATTTATGGTCGTGCTCGGGCGCTCATTTGGGCAACACCGAATAACCAGGTCATAAAACAACAATAGTATGTGATTTTTTAGCGAATGCTTTATACTTTTATCGGCACTTCTGTAGTTATTTTAAGCATGAGATGGCGATGATAGGGATTTCTGATCAGAAGTGGGCCGAATGAGCGACCCTCAACTGCCATATCACAAACAACTTAACAAGCAGCAGATCACAAAGACATCACCAAGCGTGTGCAGATTCAGATACTAGCAGTTCAATAGATTAAATGCCTTTGGACTGGACATATAGGAAGCGTCTGCGGAGAGTTCTAGACCAGATGTTCGACGATTCAGACAGGTGACAGGTCAATGTTGATTAACTCTTCCAGACGTTCATCGTCAATTTGGCTGGAGACATTGTCGATCCTTCAAATTATTTACGGTCTGCATATGTCGTCTTCTCCTTTTCCGCCTTACACTTAAATCTTCTCCCGACCTAGTGTGCCTGGGACAGCACCGCGGTCTGTCTTTAATGTGTCGTTACCAGCCCACGAAGACAATCTATTATCAACAGAGGTTGGCATTTAGTGGCCCGAAACGCAATCTCAAATAAGCCTCATGAGATCAAAAACGAAGTGATACGCCGCGCAAGGGCTGCTTATTAAGTAATAGCTCGCTCAAAAAAATATCCTATACAAGGGGAACCGGTCGACAGTGTTTTGAGACAGCGTTGTCAGGTTCAGGGAGCCGGCATGCACCGCATGGATGTTGCAGAAAGTCTCCACTGCGACCAGCTGCCAGTGGCTGGGATTGGGGATAAGACCCACCCCCAAGTAACGAAATCCCCCCATAACGAAATGCAAACACCACCTAAAATTGAGATTATATAATCCTTTTTTATACTAAATATAAGAAAATTAAAATATACTAAAATATATAATAAGTAACTTTATATTAAATATTATATAATAAAAGGTTTTTTCAATATATATATAGTATATATAGATTTATTAGTTATATAAATTTCTCTCTAATAAAATTTCTTCTATTTTACTAGTAAATTTAGTACTTCTTATATAGAAGTATATAACTATAAATTATATAAGAAATACTATATATTATATATTAGGAGTATAAACTATAAAGATCTATATATTAAATATATATCTTATATCTATAATTAAATTAATATATAATAAAATAAAATATTAACAATTTACTAGTATTTAGTAGTAAATCCTTAACATTTCAGAACTTTCTACTAATAAAGCTATATAATCTCTATTTAAGCTATATTTAATTTATATAATATTATTTTTCTATAAAAATAGTAAAGTATTATATAAATTCAATTTTTATATAATTTTAGTATAATTATTCGCTTAGATATCTATATTAGGAATAGTAGGGTTTTTGGTGGTGGCCCACCTAAATTCAGCATTTCGTTATGGGGGGATTTCGTTACTTGGGGGTGGGTCTTAGAGCGTATAGTGAGATTCGGCAAACCCACCTTCCACATACGACCATACCCATTGGAAAACTCGGGATCCCGTCCGCACTCCCATAGATAAACCAATGAGGGATAGAGTAGTAATCGGGTCGGTGACGACCGGTGAATGCCTGTTGTTGTATGTCCTTTGAATTTGCTTTTTGCTTGTGACGACCTCTTGGCCTGTCATAACCAACCTGCCTGAGATGCATGAGATGCAAGAGCCATGTATATAGTATTGGAATTCGCAGGTCAGTCGTCTCGAGGCGCCTATCAACCTGACAGACGTCTGGTGGTACCGGTGTGGATGAGGTCTCTGCGGAGGATGAAGACTTGGAGTCGATACACTAGCTTTTCAACCCGTGATGTGATAGGATGATGCTCGCATGAGGAGGCTCTCGGTCAAGATTTGCCCCATGAAAATTGTTTCCCGCAGCGGGGCCGCAAGTCGAAACCTCCGGAATCCGTTTCGTCCGCCAAATCCCTGCGATACAAGACAGGCCACTTTTGAACGTTTCACAAAAGGAACATGGCCGAGCCCGCCGCCGCCGACGTCGCCTCTTGACGCTTCGTCCGAGGTGGACATCCTCGACCCGCGCTACGTCGAGGGCTAAGAGGACGTAAACCAATCCGACGACGAAGACAAGGTCCAGGTCAAGAGCCTCTTTGCCGACGACATGCACTCCATGGCCGACGCGTTTAGCAGATGGGGAATCGGGTACTGGGGTAATGTCTGCAGCTTCAACCTATCCAACATGTCCAGCGGCACCGAGCAGCGCAAGATTTACATCAACAAGCCCCAGCCGAACCATCTGGCTACGCGCGGGCATCGGTTCAAGGCGTTTGATTTGCATCGCATGAAGGCGGAGAACGTGGTTTTTGACGCGCCGTTTTGGATGGATGTTGAGACTAAGCCGGACAGTCTTGATGCGTGGATGATTTGGTACGATACATTTTTCCTCACGGCGCCGGGCACAAATCTCGCTCAGAGCGCTAAAGGCCACCGGGATCTTAAACAGGATTGCGTTGATGGGGTTATCGTTGCGACTGGTCCGCATGGCAAAGTGGCACATTGGGGCGCTGGGCATCTCCCCGTCGTTCGAACACCAACACAGGCACCAGCGGTCCTGCTAGCACTGGGAGATTCCATCACGAGCACGGTCAAGTTTGGGGAACATCGCGGATCGCCTCGCGATGTGGAGATGACGGTTAGCTGGACGATCCGAGACGCTGCGTAGACGGGTGAGCAGGCGTGGCATACGGGCAACGCCGTGGAACATCCGCCGAGCATGGATCCAGATGCTCTGGAAAATAATGATCTCCAGACACGTCCAATCCAATATCCAACAGACACAAGGCTGCATCGACCGATATCACTGTTCGAAGCTCCGCGAGGCCAGCGTAATCAGCAAGCAAGCTCAACCGCACCCAGTCTCTTTCTGTCTTGAGATCTGAATACATGCGAGCGGATCCGGAGCCATCGTGTCAACGTTCGCGAGCAGCTTTCTTGCTCCGCCACGTCACTTAGAGAATGGTTACGGCTTGCTTCTCCGCTCCCGAAAACCACGACAATGCCGATATCTCGTCTTTTTGATACTTCCGGGACATGGTGGTAATCAGGCCGATCCGCTCGAATGCAGCCAACTCCGCCCCCGACGCCGCATGATCGCGCAATGAGCGCTCGATGGACGTCTTCCCCGGCGCCGCAAGCACGAGTCCATTAACGGCCCCCGTCACCACGTTGTGGAGCACCCACAGACACGCGACGGCGTCGCCGTGGCTCATGGAGGATACACTTCGCTGAGCGGACTTGGACACGGGATCGCTCGACACATCGTGGCCATCGGCACCCGTGTTGGTGTCGGGCGGATTCTGGTCCGGCACAAAGAAGATTCGGTCACCGTTTTCGTTGTTCAGGCCGACGACAGTGTTGGGGCAGGCGTTAAAGTCCAGTGTTGCTCGCTTCACGTATCCGGTCAACGTGAGGCTGCCTCCTTTCACCCTTCCAAAGCCGTCCAGACCCTGGGGGATCGTCGTTGCGTTGAGGACCTCCACCTGGGCGGCTGCGTCGTAGAGGCTATAGTCCCAGATTACAGGCGTGGCAAGAGACGCCCACGACCACGTCGGCGCGCAGTACTCGGCCGGGCGCTGCGCGAAGCGCCGTTGGAATGCGCGCCAGCAAAGCAGCCATGGAAGATCAGTTAGCCACAGGCCGGCGAGATAAATCTGGTGGGTGGCGGGCGGCTGTGGGGTGCTGGGTCCTTGAACTTGCGCCGCATACCGCCGCGCCAGGCCTGCGATGGCGGGTAGTTTGTCTGTGACGAACGTCAGGTTACGCCCGGTGTACCCACCAATGATCAACGTCCAAGTCTTGATCGTTTCCAGCATCCGTGGGCGGTTGGCTAGGCCGAGATCGCGGTCGCTGTCCTCTCGTCTAGACATGACCTCGCGCTCTTGTCGTTGCCGAATCATTGCTCTCTCATACGAGACTTTGGGACCATTATGCCCATCTAGTCCATGAAACTCGCGCGCAATGCAATCGCATTCGCAGAAGAGCGTCTGCTTGCACTCCCAGATTAGTTCAAAGGCCGTGAAGTGCAGCGTACGGCGCGCGAGCAAGCGTTCTTGCAGCGTCCAGGCTCTGGTGAGAAGCGGATAGCTAACGTCGTGATAGGTCCGGGGAAAGACAATGTCGGAATGTAACAACGGCTCTCGTACTTGGATGATACATTCCGCTCCCGTGTCGTCTTTGATTGGCACACTCAGCACATCATAGTTGCGCTTCCCTGGAGGCTTGTCCGGTTTGGCGATAGCGTCTTGCACAGAGATCATTTCCAGATGCCGAGGGGTAAGGATGCCCCAGGTTGGGTCCCGAGCCGCATCGGTGGCGATGGTCAAGAAGGCATTCTCATATACATCGGCCATGCGCGCCGCCTCCTTCTCCCAGTCTGACGGCGAGTCCTGGATAATGCAAAGGGCGTCGATCCACATGTAGCGCACCCCGAGACTACGACATATCAGAATGGCATGTCGGAACGATTCCGAGAGGCCGTCCCAAGAGATGCCAGCTTTCCGCTGCGCCAAATTTGAACTTGTGGTTGTCAGATTGAGAACTTTGCCCCAACAGTAGCTGAGAGCTGTGTAACACGCCTTTGAGCTCGGAAGAGGCTCGTACAGACGTACATTGACAGGTAAGCCAGGTTGGCCGAGGTCCAGAACTCGCGTTGGAAGGGGTTGGACGCGGTCTGACTGGCATTGAGGATGCTCCTGTTCGCATGCAGTAATCCAGCGTTTGCAAAGCTCGAGGCAGCGCTCGAGGTTAAGAGACGGCGCAATGTCTCCCGCCGGACCGATAATCGGCCAAGATGTTGCCTGACCTGTACTCAAGCGGACTTGTTAAACACTGTCGCATTTTGACAACATCCAGATACTGGACCTACTGTTGTAATACGTGAAGAACTCTAATCCTGGGAAGTGCGTCTCCTTGGGGAGCGGGTATAATGACAGCAGCAACGTCTCTCCGAGGATACCGCTGAGGCTGATATTCACGGGTTCGTCCTCATCAACGGTCGTCCCTGCAAGCTCCGAGGCCAATTCGCCGTGGAAGTAGAGTAAGGCGTCCCAAACCAAGCGGCAAGTTGGGCATCCTCCGTCGGCCGACTCACGCCATTCTTGCATGGGAACATACAATTCAAACGTCTTGAATCGATCAGAGCCGGGCCAATTCGTTTCATCAGGTGATTCGTTTGTCGTAGCATCGACTTGAAGACTGTTGCAGATGCTGCAGAGTGACATGGTTGAACCAGCTATTGAGCACCAAATCTCCGAGAAGAGTCATGGTGGAGCTCGAAGCATGGATGTTGTGTCAAGCACGTGACATACTGCAGGGAGCGACCGGGGTGCATCTTTGATAAGATAAAAGGTAGCAATGAACGCGGCGCACGGCACGGTCCACAGCCCGATCGCACGTCAATCCACTTCAGTGTCTCTCCGGAGAAGATGGACGTTTGTTCCTTCACGCGACGGGTCGACTCCAGGCCATACGGATACTGGGTCCTGGTCGGTCCCCTGCTCGATCGATTCTGGACGCAAGGAATGGTGAGCTTCAGTCCTCGGGGCACCCACTGCAGTGGCTGGCCTGGGGGAAGCGGCCCGACCCGTTTCCTCCTCCATGTGGTGAACTAGGAACCCCCGCAACACCGTTAAGTACACGTGTAGTTTACAGAGTAGTGCTGTTCATACCCAGTCCCCCGCCCCTTGGACTTTTGGTTCAGTCAGCATGGACGCTGTCGCCTGTAGTGCGATAGGCTGCGAACAGATTGGCGTCGGCAAGGAGTCGTCTGGAGCTTTTTGGGCTCTGCGATGAGGTGGGGAATATCAGGTGATACGAATTGACGTACGTAGCGTTGTCAGCCATCAATCACTGCTTGAGCTGGCAGCCTTCCTGCCAACCCGCTTCCCCATGCCAAACGTGACTGGCTCGGTTGAGCTCGCCGAGCCTGCAGTAATCCTAACGCGTGCGGAAACTATGGGTCTTGGGCAGCAAAAGGCTCCGAATGATTGGCTTGTTGGCGAGATATGCAGAGTGTGTCTCATTCCTTGCAATGACAGACCAATCAGTGCGTGGAATCGGCCAAATATGCTGCATAAATCAATCCAACCAAAATGAACGATAAAAAGGGGGGAAACCCTATTCCATCATGGTTAGTCAAATGAAGCGGCCGTCCCTCAAACGTTCCGGTTACCTTGCGAGCGACTCATGACTTTCTGATTGGGTCCTTCCCGCCGTTATTCAACATGTTTCCGTTCAATTCCGCGCTAAATCCGGCCTCCGTGGCGAAGCGCCAACGGCCAGAACTGCCGTCGCCACGCCACGAGGAGCGTGCCTGCATCGAGGTCCCTGAAGATGATGAAATGGCCGACGCGACGGAAGATCTGGATTTCCGCTTCCACGACATCGACACCGAACCCGGCACGCGGGCGAGAAAAGCTCCCGTGCCAAGAGAGATGACCGGCAACGACGATGATTTTGAGCACGATGCCCGCGCACCGGTAAGCCTTCCCATGGAGAAAGAAAGAAATTGGTAAAAGATACCTACGAACTTGTGTTAACGGTGGATGCCCAACGCAAAGTCTGCTCTGAGTTTTGATTCCGGAGGTGTTGAAGGGTGGTTCCCCTACGTCCGAGAACGACTAAGCCAGCTAGAAACTATCACCCTCAATTTCAAGAATCTTTCTAGCCAACGGCGCACGGCTTATGACCAAGCAAGTTTGCAGCATCTTTATGAGAGTCTTGTTATGCAAGTCCATTCGGAACAAGCCGAACTAGAGTATACCTTAGGACAGACCGATGGCACAAGGCATGACTTTCCCATGGGGGACGGACTCGACTCGGGAGGCATCTTGACATGGCGGAAACAGTGGCAGAGACGCAAGAGGATACGCGAGACGATCAAAGAGGCCTCTTTGACGCTCAGTGACTGTTACAGAGGTTTGATGGAATCGTCTCTCACCACGGGGGCTGATGTTACGGGGAGCGAGACAGAGGAGGCGAATCTGCTGGCTAGACTGGAGTCCGCTCGCCAGAAGCTGGAAGAGTCAATTGATCCTCGGGGAAGCAAAAGGATCAACTATCCTCCACGCGTACGACGCGACAGGTTGGACAGGGGTAGTAAGGCAGGGTCATCATCGTTGCCTGATTGAATACTGCAAAAAGTTCGAGCATTTTCAACTTGCTTGTCTCGCATACAATAAGAGCAGATACAATGTCCAATAAAAACATAGCGAGAGGCTTCAACTACATCCTTTGGGTGACCGAGTTGACAGGGAGATTGTTAATAACATCAATCATGGAATGAAATTAATAGCTAAGCATCCTGACAGAGTGGCACATGGAGATTAGAGTCCACAGCACTCAACAAGAAGAGCCGGCCAAATGCGAGTTTCAAGTTAAAAAATAGCAACTCATAGCAGTCAGAAGTTCAAACACTGGAAAGAGTTTGTTTGAAATAAATTAGCAAAAACTGCTATATGAAGTCGACATTGAATATGCAACTTCGAAAGCGAGCGCTAGGTAGGCCTTGTTCCCATAGGCTGAAGTACACGCTCGGCTCTCACACAGTTGCACCAGTAACCTGCACCGTGGGCATTTCTGCTAGCAACCCAAATAGCCTTCTCTTCCATAGACGCCCCAAACCAACGCAAACCTGCTGGATCCACAGCTTTCCGTCGACCTCAAAAACATACGAAGACGAAGACCTTGCCGTGTCCCCCTTCATTTGCATGATGTCAGTCAACATGCGATCAGCTGTCTGCTCATCCGCGGCGATCAGATGCATCACGGGCTTCTCCTGGTACATCATCTTCACCATCTTCTGCACAACTGCACAACTAAAGAATCCCAATCCCACAATCACCATGAGAACCATCTATGCCATTGGCATAGCCAGCAAAGTCACCGCCGCGAATACTGACGTGGCGAATACATAGCAAGTAAGACCACCGGCGCGGAAGAAGAGTCGGAGACCAGACAACCAGTACGGTGGGCGCTTATCGTCTTAAGAGACGGAGATAACAACTAGCATCTGCCGACTTGGTCGAGACGAGCCGTAGTTATGCCTGTCTACCACGTTCCACTTTGGTTCAGCAGTCTTAATGCTCTCCTTCATCATTTTGTCTTTAAAGCCGTCGAGCAGAAAGTTTCCCTCCTCGGGGGCCGATGTGTCGCTTCCGTTGAGCGTCACATCTTAGCGAGTGATGTATACCTTCCAGTGCTCGTGGAAGGGAATGTTGATATATCCGTCCACGATGGCAACGAATGTTACTATTCCAACGCGTTAGCAGTGCCCGGCAACGGTGTCCAGGTTGACATACCGACGAGGTACCAAATGTGAGCCCACGAAGTGAGAGTACACCAATTGGCATACACTGCACCTTGCTCAATGACAGCCAAGGAAGCCTGCGAAGCCCCTACGAATACTGCCAGGACAAGACATCCAACGATGAAGAACCATTTCGCGGAGAGTCCTGCGTATCCCAGCGATCCCTGCTGCTCCTGATCCATCGCATATCGGATACGCTGCTGGACCTCATTCGCAGTTTGTTCGTAAGTCGCTCCTTCGTCTTCATCTCCCTTTTCCGTCGCCCGCGGGACACGCATCGCCATGCATCCCTGGGCTTTAGAGACCTTTAGATAATCCTCCGTCTCAGAAGGCACCATGGTTGCGCCAAAGGTCAGACACTGTGCCAGAAAGCCAGCTATCGGAGACATTCTCAGCAGCGCCCACAATTCTGCCGTAGGGCTCCCGAAGAGAGCGCCAGCAGTGGGAAGGAGCGTCAAGACGCCCGCCGAGGCGCCATACTCGGTCTGCTGGAGGGCAGAAAGGTCATCAAGGACCGCGATGAGATTGCTCCGACAGACGGCATAGGTATCAGTGTTGCGAATGCATTGGCCGCGGCGGAGCCAGACGTCGCTTGAGAAAAGGCCGCCTGGGTGCTGGATTGTTGGGTCTTTGAAGTTGTCAGAGAGACATGGTGAGGTATAATTGTCGTCCTGGGCTAATGCACTTGTTATAATCCAAGTCAGGATTAGGAAGATGGATGTGCGTATATGCTGGAATGGGGTAGTGAATCTAGCCCATGTAAGCGAGTCCATTTTGGCATGTAACCGGTGGTGCTTCAACCATTTCCGTTGATAATTGTCAGCAGCAGCGAGAATGATGACTACTTGTAGTTTTCATATGTGATGAGGGATACGTAATCTGCCAACCACCAAAAAAACGCTCGTTGGTTTCGTCAGCCTGCTGAATGTAGGCAGTCGTAAAACTTTTTGTTCAGCTGCTCCACGAGGCTGCGACGTCAACCAAGTCCATGTCATCCGATGCCGGGATAGACGCAGTGAGACCCTTTTCTGGGTGCGGAAGAGTGAAATTGACGTATCACGAGCGCTCATTGACGCAGCTCCAGAAGGCTGTGGGATTGAAGGCCTGTCGGTGCAGGGGTCAGCCACGGGTGCCTAGAGTGGGTTCTAAGCGCGAAGAGTGTGCGAGATGTGTGATAACCGCCAATGGCGTGATCTTATCTTGGATTTTTCACTGCAATTCTGTGAAAGATGAGTGAAAATTGAACCAAAGTACTTCGGCTTGGGTTCTGCGATTGGACGGGGTCCCGGCCCCATGACCAAAGGCAGCCATCTGCTTGGCTCGCCAAGCTGAATGCTGCAGCATCACGACCAACAAGGGTACAAAAGTCCCAACGAAAATGCGACACCATTCAAGTGCTCTGCTTTACTCACAGCAGCATCTCAACGATCTGAAGGTGTGTTTCCTATACTAAAAGTGAACTGGAGAGATCATACAAGATTCAATTATTCGCAAGCATCACTCGGACTGAGAATAAATTGCTCATCCGCCAACATCGCAAGCGTTTCAATCTTCCCGTTGCTTTTCAAATCCAGCAAACGTCCAATGCACCAGCCCAGAGTAGCTTCAGTGCTCGCAAAAGTTCCACGTCACATCCTTCAACCTCTTCTCCTCCTCCTCCTTAAGCCAAGTCCTTTCCCTCATCACCTTCAACCTCACCTCCTTTGCCTCTGCCAGCCCCATTGGCCACTCCACCTCATCGGCAACCAACTCGCCGAGCTCAGCTGGTAAGACTCCCTTCCCGCCGTCCAACCCCGTCGTCCCAAGCCACCAATGTTTCTGCTGTGGTGGCACGTTTGAGGTACTCACAATCTCAATCGCGGGATCCACCAGAAATAACGCCAAGATTTTCCGATGCCCCTCCTTCGTCGGATCTGCCAACCTAAATGACGAAACGTGATGCTGCAACAAGTTCGGGAAGAACAGCGCCCGTCCCGACTTTGTCACCACTGAACCAATGTCCTGGAATATGCTTTGGTACTGCTGAACAGCGAATGTGCGCTCGATGCTGCGGTGGTCATATTGTTCGTACGAAAGTGCACCTTCGTCGAGTTCATCGCCATTGGCGGACGTGCGAAAGTTGAGGGTGCACTCGGTGATGTTTTTAGAGTCGTAGTAGAACAAGGCGGTGCTGACGATGTGCTCGTTGAGCTGGCCCTCAGTATGCCATGACCCACCCGCGTACGAGGGCTTGTCGGGGGTGAGGTGAATGTTTGCGAGCTTGACAATAACCTGGACCTGGGACTTATTGTTGAAGAAGCCATGCGTCTTGACATGCGAGCTGTCAATGCGGACGTACTTTTCCGCCAGAGGATCGGCGTCGGGGAGTTTGAGGGCATGTGTCGCAAAGAACCAAGCATCATCCAGCTTCTTCCGATCAGAGTCTTTGTACTCGTCGTCGTACTGCTCTTCGTCATCTGGGTCCCTGGGCTCTTCGTCCTCTCCGACGGGACGTTTCCATGGCTCACATGAACAATCCATGTCGTCCAACTGGCACAGTTCAGGGCAAGGACAATCCCCGAACCCGGCCTCGTCTGTGCGAAGACGTTGGACTGAGAAGTCTTTTTCCCAGTTGTAGATGGTGTCCCACGCCGGCAGAGACTTTTCAATAAATCTTTCAATTACAGCATACAGATCGCTGTGTTCCTTCGGGTGCAGGTTGTTGATGTAGCTTGCAATCTTGGCTTTTCCAGTCGTTGAATCGATTTTGACATCACAGGGGAGCCACTGGAACAGGTCCGAAAGAATGGTGATGCTTTCCTCGCAGAAACTGCCCGCTTTTATGAGAAACTCCGTCTCCTTTTGCTTCCGCTTCGGTAGAACCGTCCCCATGCCGCAATGCTCGAGAGCGTCATCCAGGCCGATAACGCGATCTCGGAGGACCCTAGAGCGGCCGTACATCAGTGGCCAAAGAGAAGGGTGTACAAGATCCAAAACTTGTTCATTGCTGTTGGGGTGCCAGTCTTTGTCCTCTGCAGGGACTTCTTCCAGCGGTTTGACACATTTCCGAAGAGACTCAGCCATATCGGGTGTCATGATGGCGTCGGATTTGATGACGGCGATGGAGTAGTCAAGTACAGGCATCAAGCCGGCCTGTTCGTATAAAACTGCCTTCTTTTTCAATTCGCTGATGCACTTGAACGCTGTCAACAATCCGTCCGCATCAAATGATCGGTCGCATGACTTACGGCGTCGGCCATCGCGGGAGTGAAATCGGCGTGCTTCAGATACAGCGTCCAGTCCATGCTCAAGGCCTCTTTCTTCCACTTTCCGGCAATCTCGTCATCTTGTACCTTGCGCCAGCACTCCGGCTTGTCGGATAGCGCGTTGATAAACTTCATCATGCAGCACTCGCGGATGAGCAGCGTGGCGGCGCGCCATCCTCCGCCCCACCGGTCGTCCATGTACA